GTTTTATTCTTCCTTCTCAGGATTGCTCTGGCTATTCGAGGTCTTTTGTGGTTTTATATGAATTTAGAACTATTTGTTCCAGTTCGTTGAAGAATGCTGTTGGTATTTTTTATAGGGATTTCACTGAATCTGTAGATTGCTTTAGGCAGGATGACCATTTTGACGATATTAATTCTTCCTAGCCAGTGACATGGGATGAGTTTCCATTTATTAGTGTCCTGTTTAATTTCTCTTAAGAGTGTCTTGTAGTTTTCAAGGTATAGGTCTTTCACTTCCTTAGTTAGGTTTATTCCTAGATATTTTATTCTTTTTGATGCAATTGTGAATGAAATTGTTTTCCTGATTTCTCTTTCTGCTAATTCATCGTTAGTGTATAGGAAAGCAGGTGTGGTTTACTTTTATGATACCATCTATCCTGGAAGATTAAAGATATCCCTTAAACATCACTAGCCTTTCTAAAAACCCCACTATTATGTGCCACTGTATCTTAACTCTATGCATTACCCACCCACCCATCCATTCATTTACCCATCCAACCATCCACCAACTTATCCATCCATCCATCCATCCATCCAATAGACCTTCAATGAGTATATCTATAGTTAGGCACCTGGCTCAGTGCTGGTGATACAGAAAAAAATTAGGCCCTTTCTCTGTACTCAAGGAGTTCACAGCCTAGTGGGAAAGGCAGCCATATAAACCAAAAATCATTACTTTTCTTAAACCTACTTTCAGATCTACCTTTTGGGGGTAACAAGTTCCACAGATCACAGGTTATGGTATTTTAAAGTTGAGTGATCTTAGAAATCATCTCTTCTATCTCCTCATTTAACTGATGGGGACATTTTGGTTATTATTTGTTGTGGAAATTATTATGACTTCCTCTTATTTGCCTCCAAATAACCTCCCCAGGTTTCAAGTTCAGTTCAGTTCAGTGAATCTTTATTATGCATCTACTATATGCCAGGCTCTGTGCAAAAGCTGAAGACACAGTAATGGAGAAGACATCATTCCTGCCCTCCAGTAGGTCAGTCTGGGGGGAAAAGAACAAGCAAAGAGATAACAGTGATACTACTTGATAAAGGCAGGGATGGAAATGAACACAGGGTACTGAAAATACAGACTAAGGGCCTCTGCTCTGGATTTGGGGAGCTCAAGGCAGGCTTCCCAGAAAGAAGACCTATAAGGCATGTCTTTAAGGGCAAAAAGAAATGTGTTAGATGAAGATATATGGGAAAAGCACCCCAGGCAGAAGGAACAGCATGAGCAAAGACATGGATGTGTGAAATACCATGGCTTATTAGAACTGTAAGAAGCTGGTGCTGCTGGGGCATAAAGAGGGAAGCAGAGCAGAATGCATGCGGAAAGGAGGGCAGGGCTGAGCCCCAGCACACCTGACGTGAAGCTTCTATGGCCAAAGGTCACCTTTACCTACTGGGTTTGGTGAACCTGGCCTTGTTCACTTCCCTGTACTGTCTGAGCTAAGGAGCTCCACCACAGCCCCTTGTCTTCATCTTTATAAATCGAAGAGGCCTAATTTATTTTAAGGGAGAGCCTGTTCTTCAAGATGTGGCTCAAATGCCACCACCTCCATGAAGTCTCCATTGACTACCCTTTGCCTTCAAATGAACTCTGTTGTCTAGACCACACTGTGGGATCTCCGTGGTTCTCTTTCACCCTGAGGGAGTATCGCTTGTCTCTGCAGTGAGCACTCAAGCTCCCAAGGGCCATAAGAGTCACATGGTAAAGTTTAATAAATACCAAAAAGACTGATTTGGATTTCAGGACACATGGGAAGTGCTGGGGCTTTGGGGTTGGACAGGCCTGAGTTTGGTTCCAGTTACATCACTGGTTAGTAACTGGGGGCAAGTTTTAAATCATCCTAATGCCTCAGTTTCTTCATTTATAAAACAGGTGATGGCTCCAACTTCCTGAAGGCATGACTGTACGTGGGGGCTGGGGAAGGTTGGGGGCTTCCTAAGAGTGAGGATTTAGATGTGCAGCAGTGGTGGTAAGAGGCCTGAGAGCAGTGGGTCTGTAGGACAGGATGGAAGACCTGGAATGATGCGGCTCTGCGGCTGAGCAGCTCCCAGTTGATTCACTAACCAGTTAGATACTTTCCAGTGACAAAGTACTTGAGCTGGACTACCTCATTAGAGCTAAGGAAGCTAAAGGCCTGAGGGGAACGCAACCGGCCCAAGGTTACACAGTGAGCAAGTGGCAAAGCCTGTGTTGGAGAGAGGGAGAGAGGAGAGGAAGTGCCCAGGCAGGGTGGAGAGCAGGGTGGAGTCACATTTTGGATAGGATGATATGGGATAAGAGCACAAGGGTGACGGTAAATGTTTATCAACTGGCTTACCGGGGAAAAGTCAGCCCTGATTCTCAGTGTTTGCTGATTCCTATGGTGTAAATACTTCCACCATCACCTCACTGTCAGTGTGATATCGCTGGACTCGGAACAAGGAAGACATATGCAAGGCTGGCTTTCCTGAGCCAGTACCAGGCAGCTTCAGCACAACACTGAGGGTTCTGGGTTGCCACATGTGGTCTGGTGGGATGGCCCACTCCTATAGGCTTGCATCTAATTCTCCCCCAATCCCATAAGGTAGGGGACTTCTTACTCCTGTTTTATAGGGTGGCAAGCTGAGGATCAGGAGGTGGTTGTCCTGCCTGTGGTTACACAGCCGTCGTGTGGCAGCCTGGGCAGTCTGAGCATGAGCTCTAACCACGACACTGTTCTCTTCCCATTCCAGCAGGGCAGCTGTATTGAGGGGCCTGAGCTGCTTCAGTGGCATTACCTGCCAACTTCCAGTCCATTTCTTCATGACTCTCCAATCAATCTTTGGCTTTCACATAGTTTGGTTTTGTCTCCGTCCACTCCCACCCCACTGACTGTTTCTCATCCCTACCCTACAGCAGGACGTACTTCAACAGTCCCCATTTAGATCCAGCCAGCGCAGCCAGGAGACCTGGAGGCAGGAAGCTGGCCCAGAAATGTCAGCTGAAGCAGAAGGCAGGTCTGGTGGAGTGGACACAAAAATGCCCAGGCCTGGAGTCTGTCCCTGAAAATGGATCTTTCACAGCCCAGATGCTGTATCTGGCACTGAGAACCAATACTAACAGCACATTTCTGCTACTAACAACATAAATGATAATTTATTAGGAAATCATTAAGCTTAAATATGTGATCTGGAGCCTTGAACCAAACAGGTGGCTCTTTGGGGAATAGAGGGAGGGAAACCAAGGGGAGGGAAGGGGAAGGGAGGGAAGGTAGGGGGTGCTGGAGGGAGGAGGTGGAGGGGTGCTGAAGGGTGTGTCCAATACAAGGAAGGCCGGTGAGACCCCAGGCTGTGTCTGAGCCCCAGGGCTGTGACTGGCAGTGGCAGGTTAGGGGAGGAGGAACGACCATCTCATTAATAATACTAACAATAATCAAGATTATTGTGTGTAAGCAATTGTAATTATTCGGTTTCTTGGGTTGTGGCTAAGATTACAAGTAATACTCGCCTCTTAATCATGAGGGCCAACAGGGGATTGGGAAGGTGAGAACTGATATAAAGAGGGTGCTTTGGGCTCACTTGATAGGAGTTCTGCTCCTCTCTGACCTAGCCACTTGCCACTCACCATTCAGGAGAGCTGCTTTTAGAAGCTCACTGTGTGAGCATGTGTGTGCACACCTATGTGCATGTATGCACCTGTATCTGTGTATCTGTGTGTGTGCATGGCTCTCCTACTCTTCCCTCTTCCTATGCAGGGAAGCAGCTGGCCAGAGGCCAAGGGGTGATGGAAAGCAGGAGCCAGGCAGAAAGATGCCGCCCTCTTAAAAACCCAGGTGTGCCTGGGGAATCCCATAATGGTCCCTTCCTCACTAATCCCTAAGTCTGCCACAGTTATAAATGCATTTCCATTCAGCTCTGGTCCCATCTCTTTGGAACTCCCTTTGTACACAGTGGGAACTTAATAAATACTTGATGATGGTTCTGAACCTGGGAAGCCAACAGCTGTTCCTAGCTCTGACTCTCAGAGCCCCCTTGGGGAGCAACCATGGGGGTCTTCAGTCTTCCGGCTAGATACTCTTGTGACTTTATGCTCAGGTGGAGTCATGGTCCACTTACACATCTTGCTTTGGGGAGGCCATTTCCTCCATGGCTTCTTCCTGGCTTTCTCCCACCCACCATTTGAGCAACACTGATGGAGCAACTACTTGGTGTTGAGCATCATAATGGAAAGGCATCCTGGGAGATAGTATAGGAGCTGTGGGGTCAGATTGACCTGGGTTCAGATCCTAGCATCCTTAATTACAAGCTGGGTGACATCTGGCAAGTTACTTATCTGTGCTTGGGCGTTTTCTTTTCCTTTCTTTTTTTTTTTTTTTTACGGTTTTCATCTGTAAAAGGAGAATGATGACATCATTTCCATAGGGTTGATGAGAGGGTTAGAAATAACCTAGAGGAGGCACCTGCGCAGATTGCAGGCGTTCAGTAGGTGAGCTTTTCAGCCGGGGGTAAGAAGGCTATGGGTCCTCTCTGCTTCTGTGACCTTGAAGTTGTTACTCAACATCACGGACCAGTTGGTAAAATGGGAAGATAATGCCCACCTCCTTGGGTGTCTGGAGGACGTAACTGGATAATATGTGTAGACCCTGGCCATTAATAAGTTGCCTTCCTGCTTCCTGCCCCAGCGTCGGGGTGCACAGCTACCCTCCTTAGGAGGCCCTCTGCTCCTCCTCCCCACCGCCCCCGTCCGTGTACATCTTTCATGGCCGTGGGCTCGCGGGTTTCTGCCATACCTGTCAGAGGAAAGAGGGCAGCAGCTCAGCTCCTCGCACGCAAGCGGAAACTACAGTTCCCAGCCCTCGCCGCGCCGCCGCTGGGCCCAGAGCTGAGGGCAGTTGGCCCCTCCTCCTGGGCGGAGCCTAAATGGGGGCGGAGTTAGGAGGTGGTTGGAGAGTTAAGCCAAGCCAATGAGACCAGCTGCTAATAAGTGGGCTTGGCTTACAATATAACAGTGGCAGGAGGAGGCGAGCAAAGCAATTGAGCCAGCGAGGAGTGGAGCTGGACCTGGCCTCGCACGCTCCTAGAGGACCACCTCCTGAGACAGAGTTCTTTTTCCTCCTTCTTCTTGCTCAAGCTCTCTCCTGCCCTCCCTCCCTGCCCAGTGCAATGCATTCTTGAGTGGCAGCGTCTGGACTCCAGGCAGCCCCAGAGAACCGAAGCAAACCAGCGAGAGGACGGGAGCCAAGACACTCCGGTTGGGGAGCTTGGATGCCTGGCTTTCTTTGAGGACGTCTTTGGAGCGAGGGTGGCTTTGGGGTGGGGGATTGTGCTGCAAGGAATCCAGCCAGGTCCCAAGATGGACACTTCTGGGCACTTCCATGACTCCGGGGTGGGAGACCTGGATGAAGACCCCAAGTGCCCCTGTCCATCCTCCGGAGACGAGCAGCAGCAGCCGCCACCGCCGCCGTCAGCGCCACCAGCGGTGCCCCAGCAGCCCCCGGGACCCCTGTCGCAGCCTCAGCCTCCGCAGCCTCAGCCTCAGCAGCCGCCGCCGCCGCCGCCGCATCCCCTGTCTCAGCTCACCCAACTCCAGAGTCAGCCCGTCCACCCCGGCCTGCTCCACTCCTCTCCCACTGCTTTCAGGGGCCCCCCTTCGGCCAACTCCACAGCCATCCTCCACCCTTCCTCCAGGCAAGGCAGCCAGCTCAATCTCAATGACCACTTGCTTGGCCACTCTCCAAGCTCCACAGCCACAAGTGGGCCTGGTGGAGGCGGCCGGCACCGGCAGGCCAGCCCCTTGGTGCACCGGCGGGATAGCAACCCCTTCACGGAGATCGCCATGAGCTCCTGCAAGTACAGCGGTGGAGTCATGAAGCCCCTCAGCCGCCTGAGCGCCTCCCGGAGGAACCTGATCGAGGCTGAGCCTGAGGGCCAACCCCTCCAGCTCTTCAGCCCCGGCAACCCCCCGGAGATCGTCATCTCCTCCCGGGAGGACAACCATGCCCACCAGACCCTGCTCCGTCACCCCAACGCCACCCACAACCACCAGCACGCCGGCACCACTGCCAGCAGCACCACCTTCCCCAAAGCCAACAAGCGGAAAAACCAAAACATTGGCTATAAGCTGGGACACAGGAGGGCCCTGTTTGAAAAGAGAAAGCGCCTGAGCGACTATGCTCTGATTTTTGGGATGTTTGGAATTGTTGTTATGGTGATAGAGACCGAGCTCTCTTGGGGTTTGTACTCAAAGGTAGGGGCTGTGGTTTCTCTTTATACCTTGAACAAAAGGCTTATGTAGGTAGCAAGAGAGCGAGAGAGAGAGATTGGGGGAGAGAGGTGCTGGTGGTGGGAGAGGCGTTTGCTCAATTACATTGAACACTCCAACTTCCCATGGTTTTCCTTCTTAATCCCGGGAGAATTCATTCCTCGCCTTCTTGTGGGTGGGGGGGGGACATCCCCAAACACTGTGTCTCATTTGCAGACTCTGGGTTAGGGAGGACGATAGAATCCCTTCTGAGAATCATTTTTCCTCCTGGCTCACTCGTACAAAAGCATAACCCAGCAGCTTAACGCACCAATTAATTACATTCTGCCTCGGTGCTTGCCAGTTCCTGTGACTTCCCCCCTCTCCTCCCCTCCAGGCTCCACTCCATTTTCCCGAGGATAAAAAAGAAATAAATGTCTGGGTGGGGGGCGGGGAGGGGAGTCCATGCCAGTCCCTTCTCTCTCTGTCCTCTCGTCTCTTCCCAAGTTTCTATTTCCCTCCTCCTGAGAGACTTAGGGCGAAATAGAAAAGCACCCATGCCCTGAGTCGCCTAAAAATACAGGCGGAGGAAATCATCGGTCCTTTCCCTCGGGAAAGAGGACTCAGAATAAACCTGCTGCTGCCTCGTAAACATCCCCTGATAAAAATGGCTACAGGTGTTCCCCAGGCAGAGCAGATGGGCGCCGCCTTGGCATCGGCCCGGGGTGGCGGTGGGGGGAGCGCCTCTCCTTGGGCTGGGATGACGGGGCTTCCCAGGAGGTCCCCAAGAGCCGGCGCCCCCGGCTCAGCCCTGGTTCTCCCCTCCCACCCCAACAGCTTCTGGGGATAAATAAGGATGAGTGTGTGCGCGAGCGGGTGAGTGCGCGTCCCGTGGAGATGGGCGGGCACCGGCTTTGGCGAGGTCCCTGGTCCCACTTCTCCGGCCCCTCAGGCCAGCCCCAAGGAGGAGAGGTTCTCCTCCCCGAAGGGCTCGGAGCTCCCGTCCTCCAAGAGAGTGGGGACTGAGGAAGGTGGGTTCTGTGGGTGCTCTGCCTGCTGGGAGCTCTCCTGCCGCGGGCTGGAAGGCTTGGAGACCCTGGAGTTCTTGGACAAGTGGATTTCTCCCCACTCTACCTCACCCCCAATTTGTTGGTGTGTGTGTGTGTGTGTGTGTGTGTGTGTGTGTGTGCGCGCTTGCTTGCTTGCTTGCTTGCTTGCTTGTTGCTTGGATTTTTCTACTTATTTGTAATTTGGGGCAGGGGGTGGCTGGGCTGGCCGGCGGGTAGCTGGGAGGGGTTCAGCTGTTGGCGGTTTCAAATAGAGCTTGTTTCAGGCTGGGCACAGCTGCTGCGAGACTGTTACATTCCTTGTTGAAATCCAGCCGCAAAAACCTAGGAGGTGCTGATCGGATTTCCCCCTTCCCCAGCCTCTTGCTCTACCAGGGGATGGGCAGGCTTGCCTGCTCTGGCCGCGGGCGGGGCAGACCTGTCAGATGACCTCAAGAGGCGGAATCAGGACTTCCAGGCGGAGGGTTTCCCCGGGACCTGGCTTCTCCGAGGGGGCTGCCTCAGCTGACGGCAGCTCCTGGAAGCTGCGTCCGTCCAAATAGCAAGGATCTGAGCCCCTCAGTGAGCAGGAGTAAGCGGGGTTTCCCCTGGAATCGCAGCTCACTGAGTCATTCCCTGTAATGAGCCTCGGAGTCTGCGGGTCCTTGTGCTCGCTGCCTTCTCAGAACTGCCTCTCCTGCTGGGCGCCCCCGAGAGGGGCCACCACCCTCCGCAGGCCCAGCAGCCTCCCTGCTCACGGCCCTGGCTCCCTCCAGTCACCCCCTGGGAATCAGGAGGCCTTACTGGGGGAAACTGAAGAGGGCCTGCACGCCTAAGTGAGGGGGGGTGCAAGAGGAAGGGTCAAGACCAGCACCCCCTCTTTTGGTGACCCCTGTGGTCAGAGCTCTTCAGGGAATGGCTCTTCCTTGGGACAGTTCCCAGCATGAGATTGGTGTGTGCACACTTGTCTTAATGCAATGGAAAGGTTGATGCTGGGCAGGGAGGGACTTGGAGCAGGTGCCCCTCTGATGGAGTATTCAGGCAAAGGGGGCTTTCCTGGAGCTGGAGAGAGCAGACCTGGGTGTGATGAAGGGTGAGGTGACCCAAGGGGGGCCGGGCTTCACCCGTTTCTAAATTGCTGACCCCTGGCTGATGGCAGCACGGAGGGGGCAACAACTGGGAAGGTCCCGCTTGCTTCAGCTGGTGAGATGGCCACTTCCTGCGCACCTGGGGCTGGTATTGGTGTGATAGGTGGGGCTCACTTTAACCTGCTCACCTGATCACCAAGGCTTCCACCAGTCATCCATGCTCTGAGTCCTGGAAGAGCGTTTTCTGGGTGGCTTCTATGTCAGGCCCTGTGGACCCAGGAGGGGCTAACGCAGCCACACTTCTCCTCCCCTGGAGGCAAATAGGATTGTTTTCAAGAATCAGACCTAAGTCTGAATCCCAGCTCTGCCATTTGCAGTTGTGTGATCTTGGACAAACCGTGTAGCGTCTGCGAGCCTGTCTCCCAGCTGTCAGGTGGGAGAGTGAAGTACAGCAGTGTAAGGCTCTCACACAGGGCCTGCTCGATGAGCGGGACCTCCTGTGATTGGTGTTGGTGATGATGAGAGAAAAAGAGATGTCTTTTCCCTCTGTATCTAACTCTGGCTCTGGAATTAGCTGGGGCCTTAGCAGATTGGGAACCAAGACTGGACATGCAGTAAGAAGTTGTCTTGGAGGGAGAAGTTCTGAGAAGGGACTGGGAACCTGGAAACCACCTCTGCGCATGGGTCTGTTGTAGGGGAGGTGAACACCTGTTCCCAGCCTCATGGAGAAAATGGGCTCTATTGTGACAAGAGGCTTTGGGTTAGAATGAAGGATCACACACAAGCTGGGAGAGCTCAGAGGTGTTCAGCCGACACTGGGTGGGATGGGTGACAGTCTCTTTTGCTGGAGAACTTAGTGTGTCTTGTTGGCTTTGCTGACCAGTCTGGGGCAGGAGATGGACGGGGTGACCTCAGGCACCCCAGTCAGACTGAGTAATTCTGCACCTATGGTGGCAGTTCTCACTCAAAGGCCCTTGGGAGAGGGATACACATTTTTCCCCTCAAGGGACTGAAGACTCTTAGCCTTGCGCTGAGCTGCTGCTTTCTCAAGTTCTCTGCTTCTTGCCAGGGGGCTGTGGCCTTCCTGGTTGCCTGTCTTTGGCTAATACCTGTTACTCGGGGACGCATTCCCATGCAGGCCTGGCTCTCTGGGAAGGAACAAGGCCTGTCCCTGCACATATTCAAAGTTAATGCAACAGGGAGCCTGCGTGAGGAGGTAGGAAACGAGGACAGAACAGTCCTTGGCCCCCTTCTCACAAGCTGCAGAGGATGACAGTGAAGGAACACACACTGAAGTGGGGCACCGTTTACAGGAGGGCCAGTTCCTGATCACGGCCGGGCCATGAGGACACACAGCAGGGAGCCTGCCAGGGATGGCCCTGAGAGCCTCCTCATGGTACCGGGCTACCCCCAAACCGGCGGTTTTTGGAATAGGTGGATTTACCCTCCAGGGCTTAGACACATGACCGGGCCGGGTCTTGGCGATCCTGCTGAGAAATCGTAGTGACACTGTCTGCCCCGTTAGCATGAGTCAGGACAAAGACAGTGAAGATTTGGGGAGTTCTTGGCATTCTTTACTTTCCCCCAGAGCTGGCCTGAGGGGGCTATTCCCAGGCACTCACCCTGGCTGCCTGTCAGCCCTTTTGCAGACTAGCCCTCCACGAGCAGGGAGGGCAGGGGTTCAGAGCTGGGACAGGTGGTCCTAAAGTGCTTTAAACTCCCTGCTGTGCTCCCTCCACTGGGGTGAGGGAGAGCTGGGACCGGGCAAAGCCCTCTCCTCCCCAGCTGTGGGACCCCACCCGCCACCCTGCTGCCCTTCTGGTGGCTGAGCCAGTGCCTCTGCCAGCTGGCAGGTCACTAGCGGGCCTTGTTTCCCAGGGACCTCAGGCATAGGGCTGTAGGGCCATCTCGGGGGCTGCAGCAGAGGCTCTCCGTTTCTACCATTTTTGCACGACCTCAAACCACTTCCCCACCCCCGGGCTCACAGTCCCTGTGGGTTTCACCTCCCAGATGAGCAATCCTCCACCCCCTGGTGTCCCATTCACTCTCACCCCACCAACTTCCTGCCCCTTTGCTCTTCCTGCTACCACGGCCTGGCCTTGTTGCAGGGGGCCACCCAGGCCACAAGCAGAGAAGTCAGTATGACGGGGCTGCCCCCTCCATTCCCACGTGTGGTGTCTTTTCTCATACTTCCTTCTTAGACCACCTTGTGGGATGCAACTTTGAAAAGGGCAGGCGTCTCTGCATGCCCAGAGGAACTCAGGCCCTGGCTATTTACTCTTCAAAGAAAATGGGGTCCCTTAGGGCTAACTTGTGTCTCTGCTGGCCTCACAGAGGGCAGTGAATCCACTCCCGGCCTCTAGCTTGAATGCCTGAGTAGGGTCACCTGTCCAGGCTCTTGAATCCTCTGCCCTCCCTGGTCATGGAGGTCTTGGCTGCAGAAGGGCAGAGTGGCAGCCGGGGCTTAGCTGGGTGACTGGCCTGCACCTCCTGCCAGACCTGGGGCCCTTGGAGTAAGTGGGTGGCTGTCCTGATGTTTGGGAGGAGATGGCTCCGTGCATTGTGTCTGCGGCTTCAGGCATGTTGGGAAAGTAGAAATGGGGCAGACCCCTTTCCATGGACCCTGTCTGTGGGATCACCTGCAGGACAGGGCTGTAGAAGGGGGGAGACTCTTTATAAGCACTTGGGTACAGTTAGGAGCCTGAGAGCTGGCAGCCAAGTGCCCCAAGCAGTTAAATCGCCACAGGTCACACCGAATGTCTAGGCCCAGGGAGGGCAAGAGTGACTCTGGGAGTGTGAAAATGAGGCCCTTCTCCCACCCAGGGTGGGGCCACTTTATTTATAACCTTTGTGGACCGTCTGCAAGTGAGTC